CTATTAGATGAAATTAAATTTTCAATGTTTTTTGATAAAATGTCATAGATTGTGTCAGCATTTTTATTTATTTCACTGTCAAACCACAAAAAACCTTCATCTTCAACATTTGCAAATTCCTCTCCATATTCATTTCCTACATCCTCAGTATCTTCAAAGAAAATATGACTTTCTTCAATTTCATCATCTGCAGATTCTTCTTCAACATTTGTATTTTCCTCTGCATTTTCAAAGGTTTCAAGAACTGTAGAGCTTTCTTCATTTTCCTCTGCACTTTCAAAAATTTCAAGGACTGTAGAATCTTCTTCATTATCTTTTTTTTTCTTTTTTGCTGCTGCTAATTCTTTGCACATCCTAATTTTTCTTTTAGGTTTTGGCATTTTATTTCACAAAATAATTAAAAAGAATTGCACTGAATTAGAACGCGTTTCTGAATTAGAACGCGTTTCTCATTAATTTTGTGTAACAAGTTATTTTACCAAAATTAGAAAATTTAGGAATGCGCAAAATAATTCGGGCCAAAACTATATGTATCAAATTTGGAAAATTTTATATGTAACATATAAAAATCACATGATTTTTAAAAGCTTAAGGCTCCTGAACCAAGCAATTTTTTTTTATTATCTCGATGATAGATTGTAGAGCTGGTCAAAAGCTATAAAATATCATCTTTATTTTTTTGAGATAACCATTCAGTATCTCCTTTTTAGGTTTTAAAATTAGTACATTTTTATGTGATGGCTTATGATGTTACGCACTGTACTGTAGCTAATGTGGATAAATTTTTTTAATCAAAGATTATTATATTTTGAAGGCTTATTTGTCTTTAAATATTTCTCGCAATAATAATCACAATGTAACTAGTGGACAAAATCACATGAAATTTTTATTATTGGGAGTTGAAAATCAACTGATTTTACTATATAGTATATTTTTAGTATGGTACGCATTCACTATTTTTTTTGATTACAAGTTCACAATGCCATCTCATTGATCCTACTAAGTTAATTGGAGTATATTTGGGAATATTTCTCCACTCCTCTATCATAAATTGCTCCAATTCATCCTGATTTTTTGGCATACACCTCTCTACATTTCACTTAACAATACTCCAAAGATTTTCAATCGGGTTCAAGTCAGGACTGTTGGACGGCCAGTCCATATTCTCCTGGAGAAAGGCTTTGGCAAGGCAGCTTGTATGTTTTGGGTCATTGTCCTGTTGGAATCACCATCTATTTCCTAGCATCTGCTTAATCTCTGGAGTATGTCTGCGAAGAATATTTACATAAAATTTAGCATCCATAATTTCCTTAAAGCAAAATAAATTTGTCTTTCCCTTCACACAAAATCCACCCCATGCAAAAATCTTTGTTTGGTCTTTGGGCATAGGACAAATCGGCCACTCACCTTTATACCATCACTCTACCATATTTCAGAAGAGTTGGAAGGCAGTCTCATCTGAAAATAATGTCTTCTTCCAATTATCATTAAGATGCTTCCTAGCCCATTCTACTCGTCTTTGTTTGTGATCAACAGTAAGCATCAGAGTTGCTTTTGGAAGATTTTTCAAGTATCCAACATCAGCTAAATGCCTTCCAATCATTCTATAGGATACCTCTACCCTACAAAAAGTTTAGATGCTTAAAATGTATTTAAAACATGCTGAAAATCTACTTGAAGGTGCTTAAAATGTGCTTAAAACATACCTTTTTTAATAATGAACAAAATTAAGTATGTTTTAAGTAACCTTTTAAGTGTATTTTAAGTGTATTTCAAGTATGCTAGTTTACCATCAAAAGTATGTTTTAAGTATATTTTAAGTATATAGTATATTTTAAGTGTGTTTTGAGTATAATTTCATATACTTAAATCATACTTAAAACTCACTTAAGATGTTCTTGTTCTCTTCCATCAGTATTTTTAAGTATATTTTAAGTATATGATGTATATTTTAAGTGCATTTTAAGTATCTAAACTTTGTGTAGGGCTATACCTGTATTTGATAACTTTGTTGCCAAAGTTATTGTTGAAATAGAGGAATCCCTACGAATATATTGTCCTAATGCCCTTGAAGCATTTGCTGTGATCTTCTTCAGCTGACCACTACTATGTGTATGCTGTGTTGTTCCTGAATTCTTGAGCTTTTAAGGTTATCATATATAGTGGAGAGGGGTATATTTGTTCTTCTGTGTATTTCTTTAGCATCTCCTACACCCTCATTCCACAAATGTAATAAGATTTGATGTCGAGTTTCTTGCTTGGAGGTTGTCATTTCATGAGTTGTTTTTCAAAGAAGTAAAAATAGTATATAGTAAACATGAAAGATTGTCAAAATTTAATAATTAATCTCATGTTTCATTATCTATTTTAAACATTGTAAATTGGACTAAATTGGGGTGGTTAGACATGACACTATGTCATTCAAAATTTTCCGTTTTTTTTTGTCCCACACTGTATTTCACCCTCTGGACATTTCTTGTTATATGATTCAAAATCCAAATATATTACACAAGGGTATCTCATCATATGCTTCCATTTTTTGAAACATAATTTATTATTTTTACCTTTTTCTGGAAGCTCTGTAAATTGAGGCACATCTGTATGACCATGGCAATACTTTTGATGCTTTCTAAATACTATTTCTGATGAGAAGTATTGCCCACAATGGGTACATAAATGCTTCTTACAAGCTTTCTTTGTAATGGTAAATATAAGCTTATTTGGATTTTTAATCCATAAATAATGTGTTTTTTCTTTTCCACCTATAGATTCTTCATTTAGCACTTAAAGATTAACCTCATATTTTCTTGTATAATCTTTCGAAATTACAAGAGGTTGCATACCTGCTTTATCATTCCAGTCATTTACATTGAAATAATAGTTTTTCAAATATGGGGCATGGACAATAATAGAAAGGGACCAAATGTCAAAATCAAAAAAAAAAAGATTTTGACCCAAAAACTCGGAAATTGCATATCATTTCTATATTCATGACAAAAATCAGGGGCTATTTTAATAACTATATATATATAATAAAAAATAATAAATAATAATAATAATAAATAAATAATAAAATAATATGGGAGTTGGACTAGGAAACTCGACCCCTCAGCATTTGTTACACATGATTTTTATTAGTAAAATCATATCAAATCTATTTTTAGAAAAAAATTTTCCTAGTCCAACTCCCATATGTAGAAATAAAAATTTTAAAATTTATAGAAAGCTTTTTTATCAGGATTTTGAACATATTGAACAACATTTTCAAGTATATACTTTTTTCTGTCAAGGGTTAAACCTAAAGGATATTTTTTTTCTAAAACAACATCTATAGTGAAATTTTTGGTTATGTCTACATCTATAAGTTCACCATCAATACTTTTCTTAACATATACAATCCCTGGTTCTTCTTGATTAAAAATAAAATGATGATACTTTAAGATATTTGGTAATGGTTTAAAATTTTTTTTTAAATATTCAGTCCAGCTGTAAAAAAAAACTTTTCTTTCATCATTTCATCATAAATAGTCTGAGCAACATTATAACCATTTGTTGATGACTCTATAACATTAACAAGATCCTCTAAATTATCAACTTCAGAATTTTTTGAGCTTCAATTTAAACAATCCAAAAAACCCATCAAGACTAAATTTGGTATGGCCAGCTACCATAAAAGAATATGTGATTCTTTTATGCTTACCTGTTAGCACTCTCCATGCTAAATATTGAATCATTGCATTGTTTTTATTTTGTCCTGAACAATTATCTGCATGAATGATTATTTCCTCTTCACCAAGACCATACAATTCAAAATAATTATGTACTAAAGAAATAACAGCATCAGCTCCTTTGCCAACAAATTGTGATTCTTCTATGAGATAATTAATCTAGATAATAATCATGTTTATTACTTATTATATAATTTAAAAATCAATTGAAAAATTTTAATTAATTACTTGTCTGGGTCTAAAGTCTTCACAGATACCAAATACTTGAGCTTTATATAAGGCTTTGAAAAATGAACTACCCTATTTGCCAATCAATCTATTTTAAATTTTATTTACCTTTCATAAAATTATTTATAAAAAACATAATATACATACCACTTGTTGTGAAGAATATGGGATATGAACTTGTTCTGCAAAATCCCATGAAATGTGAAGTTTAATATTAAATGAATTTGCAGATCTAATAGGGTTTAAATCTTGATTCAGATTTTCAAATGCTTCCTTTGCATTTTTTATGCAATCTCTAAAAAATTAACAAATAAACTCAGCAACAATCTTTAACAAAAAATTAAAAAATATACAATGATTAATACCTATAATATTCATGCTCCTTCGTTGCCCATGTAATATGATTGTTCCATTCTCTAACCTTCATTTCCTTTTCTTCTTCCATCCAACAATTTGCATTGAACCTATGTTCTTTGCAAACATGACATAAATCACTTCTTGGAGTAAGAAATTTCATTTCTGGAAGATATGTATGCCATATTCTTCGAAATGTTCTATTTGAGACATACATTTCAAAATTTTCTTCTACTGCATCAATAAAATATTTAAATACAGTTGTATGATTTTCATTTGCTGGAAGAAATATAATAGGCTTTGTGTCTTTTTTAAATTTTCTTCCTAAAATAAATTTTAGATTAATTAATAAAAATTTCATTTTCAATTTCAAATAAATTATATTTACCTGGAGATGGGAATCCCTTTATATTAGAATAATTTAATATAAATTTAATAATCTCCAAAACTACATCAAATGATATTGCTTTATTACCTACTCTTCCTGTTAAAGAATGTGTTCTTGGTTGTATATCAAAATCATTAAAATGACTTCTAATATTTTTCCATCTTTTTTTACCTATGCCATAGATACCTGTGAATGCAATACTACAAACCTCAATCCCTCCAAAAAAATAAATGGTTGCCAATTTCCTCCTTTTTTCTCCTTTAGCAGTTATTTCATTTCTCAAACTGGCAGAAAGAACACCTTTTAAAAAAATATCTTGTTCAGTTTTTTTTAAATCAAGAAAGCATTTATATCTAGTTTTAACATTATTAAAATTTAAATTCATTTTCGAGCATTCTTTTTGACAGCAAACTTGTTCTAGTAAATTTGTTATATAATGGTTGATATCATTATCTATTTGTATTTGCTCTTCATTGTCAATAATTTGGTCATCGATTATTTTATTTTTATTATAAATATTTTTGAATTTTTCTAATTGTTCTTTAGACAAAGTTTCTGTTTCAAAATCATTTTCTTCTTCTCCATAACTTTCTTCCACTTCATCATGCCTTTCTTCTGCTTCATTAACTATTTCTTCATTTTTGTTGATAATTGAATTAGGCATATAACCTATTCTCAAATTAGCAAAGGATTCTTCCAAGTCAATTAAATTGGGATGTGTTTCAGTAAAAACATTGTTAAAAAATAAATGTGTAGAAGTCATTTTTTATATATTTAATTATTTGTTATTTGTGTTGTAAAAAAATATATATAATAAAATTAAATTTTTTTTTTGATATATTTTGTACAACTTTATTAAATTCGTGTTACATTTACCGATTTTTAGGTTCTTATATGTATTGCAGTTTTCTTTAGATATCTCAAAATTTTATTAAGTAATGTGGGTATTGTTCCTAAGCTAAAATTGTTCCTTGCGACGAGTTACATATATATGTGGCATCAACTCAAAATCATGATTTTTGACGTTTGGTCCCTTTCTATTGTCCATGCCCCATATGTGTTTGCTAACCAGGATTGGCTTTCCATCCAGAATATTGCCAAAGTTAACAAGATCTTTATATTGTCTTAGAACTGATAATCATCGAAGATTATTTTGCTTACCTTCTGTGAGTCTATCTGCATTAAATGTGCATATAGCCCATTGTAGACAGTTATTATCCTTGGTCTCACTGTTATCGGGATTTATTGTTCCCTTTGTGTTTGTGAGATTTTTAGGAGTCTCTATATAGCTTCCTACTCTGGCAATAATATATTGCACTACTTGAACATCAATATATATTCCTTTCTTAAATTTATATCCTGATAAAAAGTAAATAAATTTACTAATCATTTGACATATTTGGTCATAAGAATTAGATATAAGTTCATCATTAATATTACTTTCATTAAAGATGTAATCCATTGTAGTTTTGAATGTGTGATCTTCTTCATGATTTCTCATATATGAAACACCATCTTCATCTGTTTCCATGACAGTCCTCTCCATAGTTGCTTGTAATAAGATTGAAAATTGAATTCTTTTTTTCTTTGATTGCTCTAATCTTAAAACACTCTTGATTTTCTCTTGGACACTTTCTAGAAGCAATAATTCATCTTCATTCACTTCATTATCTTTTGGTACTATTCCTCTATGAATAGCAATTATATTTCTTTGCATCATCTATTCAGTTAACTCCATCTCTCTGAATATTATTTCTTTTTCTAGAATATTTGACAGTTTTTTCTTTTGGACTCTAGCCTCTTCTCTTCTTTGTGCTTGACTGCTTGATTCAGCAGGAGACTCTGGGATTATTTCATTTTTCTTACCTTTCCCTGAAGGAATAGATTGTTTGATAATATCAATGGGCTTTTTGAAAGATTTTAATATGTCTCCCAAACTATGACATGTTGGTTGCCCAATAAATACTCTCCCACTATGTCTGTTACGAATTTCTTCTATGATGGGAGATTTGATTTCTGGCTGAGCTGGTGCTTGTTCTGAAACTATATTGTTGACACCACTGAGCTTTTCTTTGATTCCACTGATGATAAAACCAATGTGTGTGAAAATGTCAGACATCTTTTTTTAACAAATATATTTATAAAATTATATGTCTAATTCAAAAATTTGGGTACAAGATTCAAAAAAATATTTTTATATAGATAGCAGAAATGTTTAATTCGAAAATTTTATTAATTTATGGCATTGATGATTATGGAATGAGACGTATTTTCATCTACAAACCTTTTAAAACTTGCTATTTCATTACATATTTGACCCATATCTTCTCTAACTTTTTCAAGTATATATAATTTTTTTTCATGTCATTAAATAATAGTTTGGTTGGCTCATCAAATTCTTGATAATGCTCATAATCATCATAATCATCATAATTCACATAATCCACATAATTGTCAAGATCTTCAAATATATCTGGAAGATTACTCCTTGCTTCTAAATAATTGTTCAGTTCAATCAAATGTGATTCATTTAATTCTTCATGAATTTTCTTAAGCTTTTTAATTATCCTTCCATATTCATCTAACCTATCAAGATTTTGACATCTTATAAAGCTATCCAATTTATTGATCCTTTTTAATCACAACCATTCCATTATGTCATCTTGATCAATATATAATTGTCATCTTCCCTCTTTATACCATTACATTTGCAATTTTTTTTGGATCTTTAATTTGCTTTGTAATTTGACCAATTAGTTCTGGTGGTAACTTAAACACCGGAGGATTAATTTCTACATACTCTATGATCTCTCTTACCTCTACTAGGTCTCTGACCTCAAACGGGTCTTTGCTATCATCTAGGTAAGAAATTGCTTTAGCAATATAGTTAAAAGTTCAGATGATATAAGATAACATTTTTTGCTTTCTTTTTATATAGATAGCAGAAATGTTTAATTTGAAAATTTTATCAATTTATTATTTTTTCTAGTTTCATTATCTGATGTGCTATGCATGTCTCGCTCATTTCACTTGCTCTCCTGTTAACTATTATTTTTTCTAGTTTCATTAATAGACATGTGAAGCATGTCTTGCTCGTTTCACTTGCTCTCCTGTTAACTATTATTTTTTCTAGTTTCTTTAATAGACATGCAAAGCATGTCTCACTTGTTTCACTTGCTCTCCTGTTAACTATTACATCAAAAATTTTTTTTCTTGTATTAGATCACATAGTAAATTTACATATATGTTATAAAAATTAATGCTATTGAAATTAGTATGAATCAGGTCTCTTGAGCATCTTGTGAATATATATGCTAAAAAAATTAATGCTATCGAAAATTAGTATGAAACAGGTCTGGAGAACCAAATAGTGCACTCTGTGCCAGAAACACCCATAGTACACAACATGACTGGTAACTTTTTTCCAAGCTTTTGCTGTAAATTTAATTGCATGTTTTAATTGAAATTTTTCATATTGTTGACAACATGGTGGAAGTTTGATTTTATTGGATATAAAATGTGACAAAATAAAATTTAGGTTTTTACCAAAATTAGAAAATTT